TAAAACGCCTCACCCTACCCGCCGGTCTTGGCCTGTGTCGAATTTGTCGCTATCGAAAAAAACTTTTGGGGGGATGGTTAGACGCACGCCTATTTAATAAGCCGCATGCATGTCTCATCGTCCTCCTCTACTCTTTCTCCCATGTAAATCGTTCTCATTTGCCCTCTAATGTCTGCTACACACTACACTGNCATTTGCCCTCTAATGTCTGCTACACACTACACTGCACAGCTGCCCTTGGACACGTTCCCCCTTTTACGGCATACCGCTTCCGTACTACGAATTCACCGACGGTGCCATTAGCCGCGGGTCTATTAGTATATGTGGTGTACGATGTGTACAGACAAATCGATTTCTGCGACGAAATCCCTTTTATTTTTACTGATTATGACAATGAACAACGCTCGTTGGCGGATCCCTGTATCCGACAGGTCGCAGATTACACCGGGGATCCCATGACACGTGCCCCCCCCCACACGTGCTCTTCACGGCCAACAAAGCTTCTTACCGCCAAGAGATTTAAACTCGTGTTGTGTTTTAGTAAACCGACCCGTAAAACAATTAAGGCGGTACAGAGAGTTATCTCTAATAACATCGGTCGTACATACGGGTACCGTTTGAAATTGAAAAAAATAAAATAAATAAAAACGTTGAAGGTTTTTAATTTAAAATACGGTTATACTTGCGGGCTTACAGTAAACACAATAGCTTCCAGTTGACTCTGCCACGGTGGTTTAAATTAAATTTTAACGGAGAAGGTCTTAATATAAGTAGCTAAATGCGAGTACCGTGATATAGTGGCAAATTTTACGACTCGACCTTTTTTTATGACTTACAAAGCAATTATTTTGCCTGCAGATATTTGAAAAATTACATAAGTTTTATAATTAAATGAAAAACTATGCTTGTGCGAATGTTTTTATGAAATTGGATTATTATCTTCCTTTATATTTATACATTATAGCGCATCTCTATCTTCGTTGCATCATCAAAATTGTTAATATTAAAGTACTTAAAATTAGAAAATAAATTAATTTTACAGTCAATATTGATATTAAAAAGGATGTAAAAATCGCAACCATCTATCCGAATTCGCCGACTTCTAACATTCCAATAATTGTTTTTTTCTTTAGAAACTTAACTGTTTATTTTAAAAATAGGATCGCAATGAATACGTATATGATTCTGAACAACATTTTGAACAAAGAATAATAATTGTTTTATTATTTATTTATTTTTCTTTACTCCAAACGACTTAAAAGTCACAATTGAAAACGTACGCGGTTCGTTCTTATATTTTATTCATCTGAAACTTCCTATATTTTTATTTTTTTACTGCTAAACTTACTTAAAAACGTATTTTTTATATTTATTTTTTGTAATCGCGTTTAGCTGCTGACATCCTGTGGTTAGCAGAAAGCTATGCAAACATTATTCTCTTATTTAGTATTGCATACAAGAATATGGAATTTTATGTTAAACGAAAATGTTATTTAAAGTCCGTCTAGTCTGAAAAGTTAACAAACAACTGCAAGAAAAAAAACAAACAAGTTCGACGATAAAATATTTTTCTTGGTTAATATAAACACAGTGTGCTCAATCCCGAAATAGTTGTATACATAATTTACTCATTTTTCAGAACTCGATCATATAATAACAAACGAGAGTAAACAGTTCTTCGACCGTACGCACAAAACCAAAGTACAATTCTGCTCAAACAACAATTTTTTTCTCATTACAAGTCATTCGGCTGATCCCTCGAGCCAGTGAAAAAATACCAAGACACGCAGATAACCGATCGCTTTTAATGATTTTTATGAAACACGGGCAGCTCAACATTTTCCCTAGTAAACGGACACAATATTCTTTGACGCGGTTACGAACGCAGCAGAGACGGGCGGGCACAAGGTTGTCGCCGTTTGCACAGTTCATCAATCATCGTCTCGACAGGGAAAGGGGAAATCGTGGTATAAAAAAAATTACTAATAATAACAGAGATGACAAAAAATAACAAATACCTTCTCGGATTACGGTTATTATCGTGTATATTATTATTATTGTATTAGTATTGTGCGAACGAGCGGACACAAAAATCTCCTAAACCGCGTGGCCATCTCTACGGCCTCCAGCGTAGTTTTGTAAAGAATACTAATAGTCGGAATGACTCGTCGATCGACTTTATATTATTGTGTGTACTATGATTGATCTCTGCAGCGAGTCGACTCTTTCCGATTCTTCCTGCCATATTTCTCCTGCACGTCTCGGATGCTATGATCAAATATAAGTTTTTGCTCGATTCACAATAAGAGAAACACCAGAGAATATACACATTATGTCAAACGAATATATGACTACCTCCTCGCTGTATTGTATTTGCTCTGTTCCCAAAGAACTACGACCGTCAACAGTACCTCAGCACTAATCGTTGTGTAGGCTTCGAGGCCGAACGGATTTTCTGTGTTTTCAATAATTCGACGGCTGTCAAAACGGCACCTATACATTATAGTGAACGCGAAAATAAAACACTTTGTCCCCTCCCGTATATTTGTGTGTTTAACCCTTCGATATTTTGTCACGGGTCCAAAACCGTTTGGGAATACTACGGCATTTGTTGAAAAAAGAAAAAAATAATCGCTTAATCATCACGTTCCTTACTCGATCTTTTGATCCTTTACATAGGTCAAAATAGTTTCTTTTAAATACAATTGTTCAAAATGATTTTAACTATGTTCATCTTTAGTATTTTCATAAATTCTATTATTTCTAAACAGGTAATTGGCGAATAATAATAATCATAATGAAAAGGTAATTTACAAGTGAAGAACAAAATTATATTCCATAATAATTACGATTAAAATGCAACGTTATGTTTAACGAATAAAAAAGTAAAACAAAATATAAAAATTCAAAATCATCAATAACAAAAATAATTATCATTAATCAAACGTCGTGAATTTAAATATATATTAATGAAATTAATATGTATTCAAAAATTATATGGTTTTTGACTTAAGAGGCGCCAATTACTCATAGAAATGAAGTGATCAAAAAATCTTTTTTTATCGTATAACACATAAAAAACTTTAAATTTGATTTAATTTTCAATGATGAATATATTCTGTTACTATACAGAAAACTTCAAAATCAACTAATTTATTTATTTAATTAATTGCTATACCAATGTTATATTACTGCCCAATAACTTCTAGAAATCAAATTTTGTACATATTATATTTTTTCATCTTAAAGTACATTGTATTAATTTTAATTTAATTTATGTATAAAGAAGGTACGATTTTTGGAACATTATCAAAAATTGAATAAAAAAAACATTTTAATATGATATTTATATATTTTATATTTATAAACAAAACCTTGGTTAATGATTGGATTTAAAAAAAAAAAGCATATAATCAGCAAAGTAAATGTTTAAACTATTATTAATAAAATTTCGCAATAATCTTTTATTTTCGGACCACTTCTCTTTCAAAATTATGGTGCTAATATCTTTAACTAAATACTAATTATGATCTTTTGAAGTATCTACAGGGGTACAGACCGCCGAATGTTTTCTAAAATTTACATTCATCTATGTGTAAACCCAGCCCTCTATATATGCATACATATTTTAGAACCCTCTCGAAAAATATTCTGTATTTATGGTCCAGTAAGTAATCACATATGCGGACACAAAAAAAAAAGGCGTAATAAAACCAATAGCTTTTCAGCTACGCATCAAAACTAAAATAACATGGAAATTAATCGATATTTTTAAATACATTTCAGATAGATATTTTAAAAATAATGTTATTAGGGATAAATTTAATCAAAAGAAACAGTCACACCTACGCATATGTTAATATTTTTTCAACGTGATGGGTAATGGACACCACTTGTAGAAATGCATTTCACGCATCGTACCTTTTATTACTTCCTCAAGAGAAAAATTATTCAAACTGCCTTTTTTTTGTAGCACCCTGCTAATTTATTAAAATGGAGTATCCTGCTTAAAAACTGTTTTAAAAATTCACACGTGGTCAGTCACTCATAGACCATGGAAATTTACAATCTCGTCCGGTTTTTGGTAGACAATTTTAATAGACACGCGGACAAGGGATTGACAGTTGTTTTTGTCTTATGATAAATAGAAAATGTCCTATACAAAACGTTTTATTACTTAAAACCAAATTTACTGTTATCGCATCCTTTCTGGGACACTAATGAGCAGTTACTAGAACAAGAAACTACGACTGAAAATAATAACAACGTGCTTATTTGGAAATCAGATATATGTATAATCGACCGGGCGAGTTTAGGACTGAATAATATCGTCGTCGATCGGGACACAACAAAACGTTTAACATAATTATATTATGGACATTACGGAAAATAATTTTTGACCGTTTGGAGTAATTTGCGGGGGACAAAAAAACGCATAACAGGACAACCTCTCATTAAAAGCCCGCGCAACCCGCCGATAACAAGACACGTTTTACCCGTCGAGTGTACCACCTCAATCCTAAAAAGGAACGCATTAACGGAGAGGCTTAACGATCATTGTGCTTTACTAAAATGAAAAAAAAAACATTTATTTAATCTGGAAATAATATTAAGTACTACTGGAACTACTGCATGCGCTGTGCCACGAGGGTCTTGGGCGAAAGGCAGGTAGGTACACATTTTTTCTCACCGACGTGCATCGTATTATGCCGACGATAAATTAGGAAATTAAGTAATAACAACAAAAATTGTAACAACAGTTAATTTCTTATTTTACCATGTCGAGTACAACGTTATCAAGTACTCGATTACAAGCCTAGTCACAAGTAGAACACTATTAAAGGGGGTTAGCAGGACATGCGGTATTAACAAAAATGAAAAGTGCGCTGGAATT